TCAAATGTATGCAAAGCCATACACAAGTTCATACAAAAGTTTTTGGGGCCACTGTCACAGGAGAGATGGCACTAGCAAGCTAGCTTAGGGTAGTTTATTCATGAGTTATGGCTATTGATTAAGCTAGTAATTGTGACGTCTCCCTGTGGCAGTGACCTCAGCAACTTTTGTTCATGGCCCAAAAATTTATCTTAATATCATATAAAGAAGGGCGAAGAAATAGAGAAGAGAGAGCTGAGGGTCAATGAAGAAGCTGGGGGCCTCTAGTCGCAGAGAGATGGCACCAACTGGGTTCGTAACTGTCGTTGAGTTACAAACCCAGTTGGTTCCATCCTTCTGCGAGCTGGGACCCTCCAACTTTTGGTGAAAAAAGAAGAAAAATCATTTCTATCACATTAATCAAGGTATTTGTGCATAATTTCTCTTTCAATTTCGGCTATAGCTTTCCTAATTTTCATCAAAGTTATTACACTTTTGATTGTTTTGCAGTTTACTTCTTCATTTTTTTGGGAACATGGAAACCTTCAGTGAACCAAAGAATTAAGATTCTGCAAGAGAGTGCAAACCCAGAATACACAAAACCCTTAACCCTTTTTTAGGACTTAATGCCTATTATTAATTGAACTATATATAAACCTTATGAACAAAAACATAATATTGCAAGAAGATGATGTAGACTATAAATTAATCTTTTATTTTTCTCTCTTTTTAGCAATATACCATATGATTACTTGGGGCGCAGTTTTAAGTTTCATTTCTTTCGTCCGAATGACATCAAAGGATGATCAAGTTGGATGATTGACGTTTATGGCATAGTTATATAGACAAAAATATTCATGCCAGCTGTTTTTTCGTTGGCAATAACTTATATATTTATAAGGACATTGAATATGTAAGTCTTGTTTTAAGGTTTGCACGCAAGTGAACCAATTAATTAACATGAATATGCAGCTTGTCTCTCCCAAGTGGTCTCTACCTTTTTGGTTTAATTATAGGAGTACAACAGCAGACCTCTATCCATTCGTTTATTATTGCGTAAGGGTTAAGATAAGATCCATATACAGGTCAATGCCTTCGTTCTACCTATATGAATTAATTATTAAATAGAGAAAATATAATAGATTAAGAACAACGAAAGGGAAATTACTGAAAAAGTCTACTGTCACATACATATAGGAGCAGTGATTCTACATTTGATCAAATATATAGTCCTGCTATCTCTTAAAATAAATCTCTTTCCATGGTTGAAAACAAAGTATTACTAGTTGGAGCGTAAGCATGGCCGCCAAGCTAATAATCAATTTGTTAATTACGTTATGTTTTTATGTCTTGATTATACAGAAGTTTGTTTATTTGATTAATTTATATCAGAAAGGTTAGAGCTGCGAAATCTCACATCTCTTGTCTCCGTATTAATATTAATGTCCATCTTGTGGAAGATTCTTCAGTCATTTCTGTGAGTTTCAGTAAAAACCTCTTGAATGATGCCAATTCAACTTAAGATTCTAATGTTTTGTTTTGTTCTCATTATTCCACATTTGGTTTCAGACATAGAAAACACTTGCCTCACAGCCATTCTCACAGTTGATGAGATTAAATCTACGGTGTTTAATATGGATCCTCATAGTGCTCTTGGTCTAGATGGCTTTCCAGGACTGTTTTTAAAATCCTTCCGGGATATTGTTGGTCAAGATATAGTCGGTTGTGTTCGACAATTCTTTGTGGATTCTTGGTTACCTCCTGAGCTAATTCGAATTTGACCACTCTAATTCCAAGAAGTCATGATGCAGATAAGTATTGTTTCTCAGTATTGGCCTATTTTGCTCTTGCTACTTTTATCTTTAAAGTTGATTCTAACTAGAGTTCGCTTTTATGAGATGAAGCATGTATACCACAACTGCACAATATCAGTTCAATTCATCTATAACTTAAGTTATCGTTTTCGAAAGTGATAATTTGATCATTAACTACATATATAATTATAGCCAAATATGATTTAATAAACAATGTATGATGCATCTGACCCCTGAAGAAATTAATAACAGCAGCATATATGTTTAATATTGTTTTAATTAACTAATTCCTGAGATGGTTTCTGTTGTAGTTTCTTAATCAATTCATAACTCAAAAGGAGCCGATTGTCGAGCATTCAATCATATCTAGCCTTAAATTTCCATCCTTTTTTGGCAAGAAGTTTAATAATAATGAACGGTTTTGGTTTGCTTTACAAAACAAACTATACTGATGAATTGTCAGGTTTAGCAGAAATTTCAGCTGAAACTTCAGAGAGAAATTAAAGCATCTCATCTTGACTAATTAAAACCTGAGGTGAAAAAAGAAGGAAAGATAGAGAAAAAAAATACTTTTTCTGTGGAAAACGCATTAGAAAATCTGGTTCCAATGAATTACGTCGAAATTGATGAGTGCATGAAAGAGAAGAAATTCCGAAGAAATTCCGAAGAAGATTGATGGAAGATGACTTTCATGGTAGCCATGGCCTGCAGGACAAGCAAGAATTAACTGATAAGACATCACATCTTCAATGTTTGTTTTGGTTAATTAGAACAAGTTCAAGAATAATAATTCACCCTATCAATCAGATAAACTAGTTTAACTCAATTTTCACATGCTTATTATTAGGAATTGTTAAATTCTACTTTAGCAAAAGTTAATCATTCATACATCTTAATTTCCCCAGTTCAATGAACTGTCTGGCATCCAACTAACTTTTCAGTTGAATAATATGCAATGAACACAACATATATATGGGCAAATAATGTTATATATGTATACGAGACCAAATTTTGATTTGTGGGCAGAAAAAAAAGGACATCAGAATCTAAAGGAATCGAAGAATGATGACAACAAGACAGACAATTTCTGAGGCTTTAGTGGAATGCTTCCTGTCACAGCTGGAGAGTTGGGGCACTAATCCCCGTCTCCATCTTTTTATCAAAAACCCCAATTGAATTTAATTTAATCAATAAAGTTATCATTTAAGGGGACCAGATAGACTATACATTAATTAATATTAACACCCCATTAATTAGTACTATCAAAAGAAGCCAAGATGCCCTTAAATCAACTAATAGCACTAACAGATGAGATGAGTGTATAATGAAATTGATAAACATATACCGAAAACGACTTTAAAAAACTTATGAACTGACAATCGTATAGATTTTTTAAAAAACTTAGAGTTGGATGAAGAAGATATTGTATAGATTTTTTAAATAAAAAAAATAAATAATAATTGAGGTTTCGTAATTTCATCAACCATTTGACATCATGGAATGAGATATGAGGATTTCAAAACTTAGTATAATTATCTATGCATGTGTGGTCTTTCATTTGCACATGTGTATATATGTTTACGTATGCAACATGTACTTAAAAGCATACAATTGAAACAAGAACTATGAAACATGTACCAGTGGAGCTATGGAGGAAAAACCAAAGATCCACTTTCTCAGTCTTACGTTAATGAAGAAGATGAGATACAGAACCTCAGTAGTGGCTAGGATGATAACATCGAGATATACTTGGCATCTCTCTCTCTTTTTCTTTTTCTTCAAAAAGTAGATGTCCAGGTGCAATTCTTGGGCCCATTTTTATTGTTCGCTTGATTCAGAACAAGAACGCCAATCATGGATAAAAAAGCATTAAAAATTTAAGACCAATGATTGTTCTCTTATAAAAAGAAAAAGCAGCAATAATTTAATTAATTTCCGCACTGGGAATCAAACATTAATTAATGTAAGTCGGTATTATTAGATGTTTATAAATATGATTTCTTTTCTTTTCATATCATCATCCGACGTATATATCAAGAAAAACCATATAATCCACTCAGAATGAAACACATGCTCACTTACGTGGCATAAATTGATTAATCAATACCCTTCACTCATTAAGCTGTTACTATTGGCAACCTTTATGCACAGAAGTCTAAAGCTGCAACTCAATAAGAACGTAAAAAGCTTTTTGTCTATAGCGTTGGTGTTAGGACATCAAACAACGAAAAATACACATTTAAGATTAATAACATAAACTTAAAATCACGTCATACAAAAAAAAAAAATATTTACGTAGTTTTATATAATTTATTTATATTCACGGATGAGAAAAATTTATTATAATTTCATGAATATGATATACAAGAATATACAACATCATAAATCTGGTACAATTAATAGAACAAAAATAATCATAGTTTCTAAGCATACTCAACCTAGTATCTAGAGCGAAAATAATTTCAGTTTCTATGACCCTCTGTCCCTCTCTCCATCATGTTTAACAACTCTTAAATCAAATACCCCCTGTTTTCACATTCTCTCATACTTTCGTAACCTTGAATTGATTCTCACCCTTATATTTATAAGTTAGATATGAGATATTCTAATTCTAATAGAATTCATATTTCAATTCCTAATAGAACTCTTAAAATTTATTCATATTTATAATTATATTATTTATCAAATAGTTTTCTTGAAAACAAACAATTTCACAATGGAACAGACATGACAGCGAGCCACAATATTAACAATTGTAAGTAGATACAATAATATTTTGCTTATAACTAAATCATACAATAAGATCAAAATTGTACAAAATTTATATAAAATGATTATTCTGTTATTTATTTTTTATCTGTTTATATGACTAAGTTGTAAGTATAATATTACTCAAGTGGATAAATAGTTCGGTTCCTCCATTAGTTCCTTTTACGAGGCTTTGTGCAATGGATATTCAAGTAAATCTTATTTTCTACACGTCTATTTTACCATTTGTTGTAATACCCCCATCTTTATGGAATTTTATTAAAGTTTATTTTTGGGGTAATTTGTAAGAAATTGAAAACTTTCAGGGGTGCTTTGGAAAGGAAATAAGGACTGGAGGACCAGAAACTTCCCGAAAGGACTTGGAGGCGAATGAACAAGTAGTATTTTAAGGGGGCTGTTAAAAGGTTTCAAAGTTGAAGGACTTGTATACTTTACCAAATAGGGGTGCATAGAGTTTTCCAGGGATTGATTTGTGACATCTCAAGGCCACCGTATAAACCCATTTTAGTTCATTTTTGCAACAAAATGAAAGAAGCAGCAAATTGAAGAGAGACTTGAGAGAATGCCGAGAAGGAGAAATAAGAGAAAGAGTGGAAGTTTAGTGAATTTTTTGGCGATTTCGGTGGGATAAAGGTAAGCATCCAACTCATGGTTCCATTTTCAATTTCTTTTCCTTTCCTTGGGAATTTCTTAATCATTGGCTAAAATAGGAAACATTAGGTGAAGGAGGGAAGGAACCGGAGCCTTAATTTGATCAAGGAAAGGAGAAGGTTTTGTGGGTGAGTGGAATATTATTAAACTTGAATTTAAAATCATGTGTTGGTTGGAATGATTATATGCGTGGGTGAGTGAAATTATGTTTATGAAAATATTGGGTAAATTGCTATTAAAAAGAGGTACTAAACGTTGTATGTTACTTATAATTAGGTATGGCTTTTACATGAATTGAATGCTGTTGGAAATGTTTATTGTAAGAATTGTGGCTGGGATTTTTAGTTAAGCCGATGCATAACTAATTTGTACTTGTTTTGCTTCGGCTGAGTGGTTTGAAGAGTGTTGGGTTGTGATTTATTGCTGGGAAATTGTTTGGAGTATAATGCTTTGCTAAATGACGACTTTGTCAATGCTTTTGGCTGGGTTAAATTGAGAAATGTTGGTGACAATTTTGTGTGCTGAAAATGGCCTTGTATTGAGTGGGAGGACTTGTGTTGAACTTGGCATTTTCGGTTAAATTAAGTCTTGCATAAGTGCTGGAAATATGTTACACGTATTGTTGATTTATAAGCCAAAATGCGTTGTGAAGAAAGAAAGTTAATATTTGTGAAAAATGCTGAATTGGATGTGCCAATTTTCATGCTTTCTAAAGAAAAAGATTAAAAAAACGTCTTTTTTATTTGCCTTGCTGGAACCCTTAGAAAGGTGAGGTAAATAGATATTTTATATGATTATTGATTACGATGTTTCAAGCATTGCACACATATTTTTGCATGCCAGTTTCCAAGGAGAACAGGTATTTTATTGATATTATTTTTTTATATGTGTATGCAAACGAGCATGCATAATTCATGATGTATTGGATATTCGTATGCAATGTGTGATGATGTGTTTTATCCATCAGATTAGAGACCACCTTTTATTAGTATTTGTCCCCCTCCGGACATCAGCTAGCATTTTATTTTTATCTTTATGCGCGTATTGAGATGATTCATCTTATCGAACGATTACGATATCTTACTGAGACAGGACGAGCACCTGACGAGCTCCAGGCGGGATTACACCAGGCGAGTATTGGTCGCTGTGGTATTTTAGATGCCCCAAGGGTGGACCATGGACAGGATTTGTTTGATACTATATCATGACACCCCGATGGTAGACAGTGGGTCGAGTATGATTATCCAATGGTGATTATACCATCCCGAGGTAGATTGTGGTTGATACCATCTTGAGGGTAGACTATGGGTGGTGTAGCTTGTTGTTTGTATTTGGGACTGAAACGTGAGAGATATGACTTAGGTCCCCGCGTATCGGTAGTGATTGTCTTTGGTTTATACGATCTTGGTATGTGGTTCCATAGCATCTGGAAATATTATATGGTGATTATTGCTTATCATATGAGTGGTTATGATGTTGTATGGCATGCAAACAGATTTTCACATGCATGTTTTCAAAGTTAAAACATTTGTGTCTTGTGGCCTTTCGACATTTTTCTATGGACAGAAGAGTTGGATCTGCCAGAATCTCTCGATGGTCTTCATCAATTTTGTGGCACACTTAACAATAAGTAACCATCAGTATATGTATATGCTAAAGTTTATTTAATAGTAGTTTTTGGGTCAAGTTGTTTCTTAACATAAGTCAAATCTCATGTATGCGGCGTCTTGTTATCTATCTTGGTTGTATGATTGTTTAGTTCTGTGAGCTATGGTCCCAGGGTTAACATTAGTTTTGTTGTAAATTAATTGTTTATTTGTATTCACTAAGGTTCATCTTGTTTTTCCCTTCTTCCTGGCTCTTCAGGAAGCTAATTATTATATTTTCCATGAGCTGCCTCTTTCAATATATCAGTTAGAAAATCATTTTCATTTATTTTTTTAAAGTCATGTTTCTTTGTTGTTATATGATACATTTATCTGCCATATCCATTCTGCTGATTAATCAAAACATTGAATTGGTCAGGAAAACATTATGGGGAAGATAATAGATTGTTAGTTATTTTCATCTTACTTAAACCTAAATTTCATTCATCACCGAATGGCACCATTGTTAGAGACTGAAACGGACATATTAAAAATGAAATCCGACCCAATAGGTTCAAAGGAGATTCCCTCTCAGCTGCCACTTTGCTCAATTAATTATAATTGTTATCCATCTTGGTTGTATAATTGTTTAGTTCTGTGAGCTAACAAATATTTTATTTCTAATTTAACTAGAAGGACCCTAACATCAGTGCTACAAGTGAAAATTTTCAAAATACTTTGCTTGGGACACACACGGTTACAACACCGTCCCTAAGTAGCCGACTCAGGACTAGCAGACAAAACCTCTTGTCAATTTCACATCAGATTCTGCTATGTGATACCAAGTGTTCTTATTTAAGCCTTATCTTGTTAATGTCCTAAAATAAGGTACCTGCTGAGAAAAATCACATTAATTCAGCAAGGCTGAAGAATTCAATGCAAGAATTGGGGAGAGTCTGGAAAAGAAGGTGCCTGTTATATGGTCCACCGGGGATTGGTAAGTCTACTATAATTGTTGCTTTTAGGCTACGGTTTGTATGATTTCAGCTCACTGTTGTCAAAGACAATACTTAACTGAGAAAGCTACTGATTGAAACATCTAGCAAGTCGATTATTGTCATTGAAGACATCGATTGTTCGCTTGATCTTACAGGCCAAAGGAGGAAGAAAAAGGAGAAAGGAGGAGGAAATAATAACGAGAAGGATCCGAGACAGAAACTTGGAAAAGAAGAAAGAGAGACAAGAAGCAGCCAATTTGTGAATTGTTGCAATAAACAAAAATGACCCCAGCGGATGTTGCAGAGCATTTGATGCCAAAAACAGTTCCACCTGATGTGGAGTTTAGCCTGAGAAGCTTAATCCAGGCCCTGGAAGAGACAAAAGAAGAAGCAAAGTTGAAAGCTGAGAAAGAAGCAAAAGAAAAAGAGAAAGAGCTAACAGGTGAACCAGGTTTTGTCACTCTAGAGTGATAATATATAGTGTGCAATCTCCACTGATTTTGATTGAACAATTTAATTATTGATTAGATTGTGTACATGAATGCTGACTTAATGTGATTTTTCTTAGCAGGCTAGTTGCCATTAGGATAACGGATTAGTTTGGAAAATAGATGAAAACTTAGATTGGATCTCTTAATAGTAGTTCAATAAATTAGATATTGTTCGTTTTGGCCTTACCCTACACAGATTTATCTTTCGAATTCACAGAAATGTCTCCCAAAACCTTCTCCTTATTTAGAGGATTGAAAGCTTATAAATTGACTGAACATGTCTATTTTCATCTGGAATGTTTAACCTGCAACAAATTACCAAGTGATTAGTGACTAAATCAAATTTGAGACTGGATGCCCAAAAACATTTTATGTAACAACTATTCAAAAGGCCAAGAAGATATGGGCCTGGCTGAGAACATAAGAGGTTGTTTTTTAGGGTTGTGTTGTGTGGCCTAATATTGGGCTAACCAAATCTGATCCACCAGGCCCAACTTTAGGTCCAATAAATGAAAGGAAACTGAGTATTATATGCTTTGAAAAGTACTAATTAATCACCTTGGAGAAAATATTTGTTCTATAAATTCATTGAACATTCCTTGTGTGGTTAGCTTGTGAATAATTAAAGTCGTTCATTGACTTAAGTGTACAGTCAATGTGAAAAATTGATGCAGATGTCTTGTCCTAAAAGGAGAATAATTAATAATTTTTGACACCAAAAGTTATAACACAACACGTCAGCATTTGTGAAACTGAAACATAAAATGTCTATTCAATTTTGCACCTAATACTTTGGTGCTAGCTAGCTAGCAACAAAGTATGAAAAATGTGGCTGCTTTGCTCCTGCTTATGGAAAATTTCTGTGGTAGGCTTACAATTGAAAATGGTTTAATATATATGTATATATACTTGGTTTGAAAGTTCTTTCTTCGTATCATCCTCGCAATTTCATGCAGGTTTCTCTAGCTATTAGATTTGATAACGCTAGGGTCTGAACCCACTAGGATTAATAATTGGTTTTGATATAATTGACTTGGTTTGAATGTTCTTCCTTCATATGATCCTCAAAATTTTATGCAAGTTTCTCTGGTCATTAGTAATTTCATGCAGGGGTTGGTCCAAACCCACTAAGACCCATTGTCGCCTTGAAATTTCATGCAGGTTTCTCTAATCATTAGTAATTTCATTCAAGGGTCCAAACCCACCAGGACCCATCATCGCCTCGAAATTTCATGTAAATTTCTCTGGTTTCTCTAGTCATTAGTAATTTCATGTAGAGGTTTAACAAAAGTAACTCTGATATCATAATAAATTGGTAATTAGCGATGTAAGACAAATATAATTCCTAACAAATTTAATTATACAAATGTGGGGTTTAATATTCACCAAAACACACATTATAATAAAACTTGCAAGTTCTTAGATGGTGAAAATTTTATGGCCAGTTCGGTCTACATGCAATTAATAATCATATAGATTTTTATCCTTTTTGTTTCTTGGAATTAATGCGATTTATAATGAATGAATGAATGTCCTTGACCAAGTCCAACATATATTGACCTTGAATGTATACATCCTTTCATATTGTACACATTAATTTCTAAAATATGTAAAATGCAATTCAATGAAGGAATATGAATGCATTCAATGAATAGATTTTCAATCACATGCTTCAAGTTTAATTTTTAAGTCCCAGAAGACTCAGCCTGCCAAGAGAAGCTTTATTAATTAATTAGTAATGTGAATAGATTTAGGTCAGATGAACTTAATTTGCATCGGTAAACATCAAATGTTTGTCACAATCTGCTTTTCACCATTACATATGCATATAAATTTTGTTCTAATAACTGTTCACATATTAAGAGATGACGACTTTTCCCATTAAATAATGCTTAATGATATTTTCCACCTATAGACTTTTAAAATACTATTTTTTTACCAAAAAAATTACACTTTTTGATTCAACGATAAACAGAAAGCAAACTCGATCCATTCTTTCTTCTAAAGTGGGAAGGGTCGTAAGTTTTCTGATGGTGAAAGGTTAGATTTTAGTAGTTTTGATTGGTTAGAATTTGACTTGGGAGGGATGACTATGCAAACCCTAATCGCTCGATTGCTCGCAATTGACGAGGTCAATGTGAGTAAGGTTTGATAGGTTTTTATAAGTTATGATCGGTGAAGAGAATGGTGATGGTATGAGATCGCAATGATGTTAGAATCGGCTGACGATTGGTGGGGTTAGCATGAAAGTGTCATTAAATGTATTTTTTAGGTGAAAAAGTGATATTTTAAAAGTCTGGAGGTTGGAAAGCATCATTAAACCTTTATTTGGGTGGGAAAAAGTCGTTATTTACATATTAATTTATTATACTTTGCCTAATTTTATGTCAAGCTTCCCCACATGCCTTCGAATGTGTATCTTTTGAAGTGATTAGTGGCGTCTTTGTCATCCCCCTAAACTGCACCAGACTAAATAATATAACGTCACTAAAATTATAATAATATTTTTTATATCATTTAACCAAATACGATAATTGATTTATAATAACAAATATAATGTGATGATATCTAACATCGTGATTTATGATATCTATATGTGATGATGCTTGATTTGACACCAATAACTCACACGTGTAAAGTGTTAAACAGACTTACAACTTACATGTGATATGGAAATATGTAATAAGAGAATAATTAAGAAGCGGTTTTTAAAGTGGTTCGGATGCTCAAAAGCGAATCCTACATCCATTGTGATTCTATTAATAGGTGGTTACAGCCAGGAAGCGTACAGCGAGCTGAATTACAATTGAGACGGAGTTTAAATACAGAGAGAGAGAGAGTATGATTTATGAGACTGAAAATGAGCAAATCCCGTAAATAAAGAGAAGCCCTCTATTTACAGTTGGAGGATTCAAGGTGGTAATCATGACTCTGCAGTTGGGTAGGTGTGGTACAATTCCTAACCCGTTTCCCATTGGTTGTCTGCACAAGAGATATCTTTAAATCGCATAGGGTTTTGGCAGGTGGACAATTCCTAGCCACTTACAAGCCTAGCATTCACCTGCCTTATTGACGATGGCCTTACCTCTTTTGTGCTTGCGTAATCTGGTAGCGTCCAGATGACACAAAATCTTCTTGAACTCTGATTGGCCCTTGCTGGCGTGAGCTCACGTCAGTTCTGGTTTTTTAGGTATAACAGAAACCCCCCAGTTTTGACGGTTTAAGGATTGAACTTTGAGAACTTCATGATTATGTCATGAATTGACTTATCCCGAATGACGCTTGATCGAGTTGATTGAGCTGTAAGGAGGTCACAATATAGGTATCTGAAAATAGCACGAGTGACCTGAGGTGGCCTTTTGTTGCAGGTTCAACGACTTGGGTCAGGCCCTACTCAGTGCTATACCAACATGTTTTGAGTTTCGTCCATAGCTCGCGACCTGAAAATACTTAGCACATTTTTACCAAATACAAGGAATCACATCCTCTCGAAACCAATACACAGCGAAGAGTGTTTTACTCGAACGACCTCTTTAGATGTTATCCATTGCGCTTGATAACTCATTTGGTCAATAAAATAATCTTTATTCTGACAGACGTGTCTATTGCGCAATAAGTGTCAGCCATGCGCGTTAAATGCAAGCAATGCTGAAACATCATTCCCTTTTAGAGCATTAAATGTAGATGAGGCACATTTAATGTGGAGGAAGGTAACCGTGCCGACGTTTGGGAAGTGTCGATTGACATCCACGAAGCGTGAAGGTTACTCTTCTCGCGGATCAATGATAGGTAGTCGTAATCAATGGCGAGAAACGCATCCCGGCAAGCGTCGCTTGCTTAGGGAAACTAATCGTCGTTTCCCCCCCTATAAAACCCCAAGTTCACCTCAAGCTTTATCACATAACTCACATTTTCAGAGAGAAAACAAAACTCTTGCAAAATCAATCTGCTCTTCTTCCAGTTAATGCACACTCTCCATTATGATAGGAAGTTTGTTCCTAGCAGTCAAGAGGTAAGAAGAGCTTCTCCTTTGTTTTCTTCTATTATTTTTGTTAATAGCTTGACTTTATATTAATGGTGGGTATAAACTGCCTAGTAAGCTTTCATGGTGTATATTTTTGGACAACAGTAAGAAGAGAACTCTTTTTTTTTTTTTTTTTTTTTTTTTTTAATTTTAAGTGAGAACTTAGGGCATAAATCCTTGGGGATTCAATCCCAAGGGTTTTTAGGGTTTTTCTAGATGTTAAGGAAGGTAAATTAGGGTTTCTTTTGCTCTCTCACGTCATCGTATAGAACACTGTATGAAGATTGAGTTATCTTAGCATGTTGCCTCTTTTTCAGACTTTAGGAGCAATGGATAGCCCAACGACCAGAGCAGCTGAGGGGACGAGCTTGCAGGTGCAGGATGCCTTAACAGGCCCCATACAAGAGACATTATCAGTGGCCACCTAGGATGAGATACAGAAAGTAATGGACCAGTTCGCGCTTAGTGTGAATGTCTACTAGCATCGGGCATACACAGCTCATAATCTCTCAAAGGGAATGATCACGATCTTTGAGGCGATCTTTAAATTTGAGGCATTGATACCTTTTCACCCCTTCATTAGATCGATGCTCAACCACTTTGAGGTCGGACCATTAAAATTGACGTCTAATGCGTATATGATAGCAGTTGCTATGTATATCGCATGCAGCGAAAATGGCCTTGGCGAGCTGACAGCGCTGGAGCTTGCATGCGGTTACTATCTGAAGAACGGCAAAGATAAAGACTCTTTTTACCTCTCGAAGCGATCCACGATCGAAAGAGGAATATTTGGTTACCCCAGTAACGTCGAGGCTTATGAGGCCAAATTTTTATTTTTTGAGTATGATGACGTTTGCCAATTTATGGAGCCGAGTAGGTTTTCCTTTCTTTCGATTTGTGAACTGTTCATTTTCCTTCAGTTCTTTTATTTAACGGACTTTTTGTCCCTTTGCAGGAAATAAGATGACTGGATTGACGGCTCTGACAGATTTTAACCAAATTGTGACATTCGATCGTCTGCCCAAGCAGCCTCGTGACCACTACTAGCTTAAGAAAATACGATTTTTTCAATCCAGAACCATCCTTGGAATATTTAGCCCATAAGTATCTTCACACTTAGAACCCTTTTTTTTTGCCTGAGGTGACCTTTTTCGCTAACATG